AACAAAGTTCTGGTTTTAGGGCATTATAATTTTAAAAAGTGGTCTAGATAATTATTTGGGAGAATCTACTGAGGACTTCTTTGTAATAAGCCTAGAATCGATCTTACAAATTCTTACAGCCATTTGAAAAGCACAGGTATTCTCTGTAGGATAAATTTTAAATATTTGTCACAGCTGTTATACTATGTCACAAACCACCTCAAATCTCAATGGCTTCAACAATAGAAACTTATTATTCTTCATGAGTCCACAGGTCAGTTTGTGGTGATTTTTCTAGTCTCCACAAGTTTATTCATGCCTCAGTAGTTTTTGGTTGGGTAGGCAGCTGTGCTGATGTAGGCGGGGCCCTCTCGTATGTCAAGTGCTTGGCTGGCTGTAAGCTGGGGGCACACAGCTCTCTTCCACAGGGTCTCTCATCCTCCAGCAGGTTAGCTGAGGCTTATTTACATGGTAGAAGCAGAGGTCCAAGAAAGAGGAAGCAAGCAAGTTCTAGACTGACAACCTGCAAACTGTCACTGCTGCCACACACTAGAGGCTCAAGAAGTCACAAAATCAGCCCAAATTCAAGAAGTTGAAACAGACTCCACCTCTTTTTTTTTTTTTTTCCCATGTTTTTATTGATTTTTTTTTAGAGAGAGGGGAAGGGAGAAAGAAACATTGATGTGAGAGAGAAATAGCAATTAGTTGCCTCCTGCATACCCCTTACTGGGGATCAAGCCTGCAAACCGAGCATGTGCCCTGACCGGGAACCAAACCAGGACCGAGCCACACAAGCCAGGCACACTCCACCTCTTAATAAGAAGAGCTGCAAAGTCACATTGCAAAAAACATGAAAGCATGGATATAGGGAAAGAGCAAAGATAGGTAAATAAATTTAAATCGTAATTCCTCACCCTGGGGTCCACCATGGGTAGTTGGAACTTATAGATGACCTTCCGGAGGTTCAGAAATTTTCTCACCTGGACTGTAGAATGAGTTCCTCCATATTTGCAGGAACAACTCTTTTAGGTTTATTTCATGTCTTTTCCTTAAATTCCACTTATGTTTGACATTAATATTGCCATCCCTTACTCTCCTGAGTGGGATTTTTATGAGTCTTCTTGGGCCAAAGTGAAAATAATCATTCATTCAAGTTTCTATTGAGCAAATATATAAAATATTTACTTCAGTGCACAAAGTATGATTCATTTACTAATATTTCCTCTCTCCCATCCAACATATTTGTGAAGCCATAGCAGACATACCCTAAGTTATATATTAATAGAACATACAGTAGGCTGGTTTGACTTAAGAATAAAGGTTAAAATCTCTCCCATGTAGAGATCTGACCCTAGACTGTTACTTCAGAGACAGAGGCTTAAGAAGAGATACCTGCTCCTAGAGGTGTCAGTAATGTCACCTAAGCAACACTCCTGCTTTGGAATCTGGAAGCTTCCTACTCCCCAAACATTTCCTGTTTTAAACAGGTACAGGGGATAAGCCCTGCTTGATGAACTAAAATCATTACTCCAACCTCGGTATTAAAATGAAATGCATGGAAAAAATCTAATTGTTTTTATCACCTACAGAGCAACACACCCATTTTATGTTGTGATGTTTGCAATATGCTTCATGTCTTTCCCCTTGGGCTTACTGAGAACTTTATACAGTTTGATAAGTCTGGGTCAGCTCCGAAAACAGTCTATTCCCCGTCTGTATCACGCATCCCTCACACATCTTAACTTGTGAAAGAATGAAGTGGTCCTAATGGATAAACATTAAAAGCTAAACCCAAGTTGGCATTCTGTTAACACAGCTCTTTACTAATCCATTTGACACTCCTCGTTTTTATCCTTTCTCCTCATCCTATCCCTTTAAGGAAATAAAATTTCTCTCCCTCAAAAAGAAAACCAGTAACTATTTTTCAGGATGCCCTGATGTCTGCTCCCATAACCCTGTCTCTCTAGCTTTGTAGCATTCAGCACAGTTAACACTTGCAATTACTAATTTACCATCTGTCTTTCACATCAGAGCATGAGATCTATGGGGCTGGGGCTGTTTCTCCTTTCACAACTGTATCCTCAGCACCAGGCAATATAATGGTTGCCAAATAAATTATGTTGAATAAAAAATAAAAAAGCTAACCATTTAAAAAATCCTATCATATGTTAAAAGTCAGGATAATGGTTGCCTTTGAGGGAGAGAGGTGAGTAGTGATGAGGATGGGACATGAAGGGGACTTCAGGATTGCTATCGTGTTCTATTTCTTCAGCTGGTTGCTTGAGCATGTTCACCAGTTGATCACTTATTAAACCACATATCTGTGATCGGTGTACTTTCAGAAGATGTTCAACTCCAACAAAATGTTTACGTCTATCGTAATTCTCTGACAAAGAAAGAAGGCAATTACGAGCACTCAGAGATTGCTATTCAAGAATAATAGACATTAGTTTCTAAACACATCAAGTTAAAACTTCAAAAGTGGGGACCAAAATGTTCCCATGTGTTAGAAAGTGCCCTCTCAGCCACGGAAACTAACCACATGTATGTACTTGGCACCAGTCACAATGGGAAAGATCCATTCATTGAGATCATGTACATTAACAGGCTTAAAAGAGTGCTATGTACATACCGCTACATGTTAGCTAGTACTACACTTTTTCACACACCAGAAGCAGTTCCAAAGGAAGACTTACCCTTAGATCAAAAGCAGACTTTCTTCATCAGCATCCAAGATCTGTTTTAACCTTAACTTTCTCAGAATAGCTTTAACAGCCTGATTGAAGCAGCACCTCCATTTACATGATTTAGTTATGGAGCCCACATCACCACCTGGCTTGTTCTAGTCACATCCAAGCAAATCAAAACTCCAAGCCAGGCTGAGGATCAAGGCACATCTGTGCTGAGAATGCAGAGAACCTCTGGCCCAACAGTTCTTCAACATACAACACTGGGTATTTGTTAAAAGTGGTATCCCACTTGATTCTGATTCACTTAGTCTGAGATTAGGGCCCGGGAATTTGCATTTTTTTTTTTTTTTTTTTATCCTCACCCGAGGACATTTTTTGTTCAGGTTCAGTGGGAGGAAGACAGAGAGAGAGAGAGAAACATTGATGTGAAGGGACACATCGAGTGGCTGCCACCCGCACGACCGACCAGGGCTGGGGACAAACTGCAACCAAGGTACATGCCCTTAGCGGGAACCGAACCCGGGTCTCTCGGGACCGCAGGCTGATGCTCTAACCGCTGAGCCAAACCGGCCAGGGCAGTTTGCATTTTTTAACTAGTTCCGTAAGTGATTCTGGAGCAGGTAGTCTACAGAAAACACTGAGCCTCTTGTTTTATAGATGAATGGAACAGAGGCCAGGGAGGGGAGGAACCTGCCCAGTCCTTTCTGGTGCCTGAGCAAGCCAGGACTAGAATGGAGGTCGCCTTTGCCATCCGTGTTATTTCCATGATACCATGCTACAATAGCTTAGGACCCCAGAATGAATTTGTCCTCAATGGCTCATTCCACAGAGCCCTTTGCCTTTTTACCCACACATTTCGTTCACTGAAGAGGCACAGAAATTCATCTGGGTATCTGTTAGGTATACAGAACCAGGTACTTTAGAAACCTGGTTTACATCATAGCTCCAATATTTACAAGCTCTGTGAACGTGAGTTATTCAAATTTTGTGTTTTGGTTTCTTCCTTTATAAAGTGGCAAAATAACACCTACGATTGTGGGATGTTGTGAAGATAATGTAGAATAATACTAGCACAGAGCTTGGCAAATAATGAGGTTCCAGTAAATAGTAGTTATGACTGATGTCATCTTAAAACAGGAGTGAGGACCTTTTTTCTGCCAAGGGCCATTTGGATATTTATAACATCATTTGAGGGTAATATAAAATTATCAACTTAAAAAAATAGCAAGCTATATTTGGTCAGGCTAACTTGGTAGGTGTGTGATGTTAGCTGGAATTGATTTTGAGGGCCTTATACAGCCCGTGGGCTGGATATTCTCCCCCCGTCTTAAAACGTGGCACTAAAAACACATTCCTCATTCGATTAGAGGAGTGTTCTCAAAGTGTGGTCCCCTACAACACAATCATCTGAAGTATGTGTTCAAAACATAGATTTCTGGAACAAGACCTAATGAATCAGAATCGTCAGAGCAAAACCCAGAAGTCTGCATTAACAAGCAAGGACCCGATTCTTCCTCTGCACACAAAAGTTTGAGAAACACTGAACTAGAGCTGTGAACAGAGTAGCTTCTTGTCAATGGAAATAAATGTATCTGTGAGAACCAGGTAGTGCTGAACGCTGATTTAGTACCAACAACTTTCTAACAAAAGGTAAATGAGCGCCACCTTCTGCCTTGTTTTAGAATGCAACGCTGAGATTCGTTGGATTCCACTCGCCATGATTGAATTCACTCTGAAAAATGAATCAACCCTAAACAAGATATCAAGCATCGTTAGAGGGAGACATGAAAACAGTCTTTACTAATAACTAGAAGAAAACTTTCTGAGTTAAAGGGTTTTTGGAGTGTTATATTAAATATATCCAAGAAATTCCTGTAGTTGCAAATGACTGCTAAACCGGTAAAGGAACATATAACCTCTCACCCACTGGCCTATACCAACAGTGAAAAGAAGAACAGAACCACAGAATGCCCCGAAATACTGCAATGAAACAACATGCGGCTGTGCCCACCTCCACCATGCCCCCCATTCCCAAGGGAAAACCGAGGGAAGTAAGGACAAGCTTTTTTATCCTGAAATCTACTCACGTTCAGAATCACAACTTCCACCTGCAGTACACTAGTTGGAAAGTTAACATTCCCTTCGAAAGGTACTCAGAAAAGCCCAGTGAATGATAGTCTGTTACTGTGTATAAAGCTGATCTCCACTTCCAAGTCGCAATGAATGAACATCCCCAGAGGCTCAGCGGACGGGCAACCTACACGGACATCAAACTAGCAGTCGTGCTTCGTATTTCAGTAACTCGACGACAAGCACAGGAAGCATTTGTCTTTAATTACTTTTTTTTTTTTAAAGAAAATAAATGGTAGACTATATACACTGTGGAGTCTGAATTCCCCGTCACAGAGTGTGAATGATGGTCCGGTTCCGAAGCTCCTGAATGTACTCTTGGGCGTGGGTGACTGCTGACTTTGGTGCCTCGGGTGGAGGTGGAGGGCCTTCCACCAACTTCACAAAATAATGGCAATAAACCTTCTCCATGATCCCAAAGCGACCTCTGCCATGGTATCGGATGCGTTTCAGGTACTGGCCTCGCCCTGAGGTGGACTCAGCTAGACAGGGAAGAAAAAAGAGAATTATAGGAAATGACTGTACTCAGAAGACTATACCTTGATCTGTTGAGCAATTCTGTCCTTTCTCTGACTGGATCCTAAGACACCATGAGCTTTCTGGCTGGCTAGAGCAGGCTTGTCTCAAAACAAGTATCTCCTGAGTACTTACTAAGGACCAGGCTCTATTCTAGGTTTTGGAGAAACAAGAGTGAACGAGACTAGCAAGGACCCTACCTCCATGCAGTGTACATTATAGAGGAGAAAGACAGAAAATAAACATGATCGTTTCAGTTAGTGACAGGTCCTATGAATAAAATGAAACAGAGATCGATGGTGTGTTGGGGGCTATCAAGGGGCATCCTTGAGGAAGAGATGATCAGAACGAATCATCCATGCAAACATCTAGGGGCAAGGTGTTCCAGGCAGGGAACAAGAAGTGCAAAGGCCAGTGGTGGGAATGTGCTTGGCTTGTTTTAGGAACAGAAAGAGGACCAGCCTGTTGAAGCACAGTAAGTAAGGCAAAGAGTGGTATGAAGAAGGGAAAGAGATCGGAGATGAAGGCAAGATTACACAGAGCCCTGCAGGATGAGATAAGGAGTTTTTATTTTATTCTCACTGTGATGAGAAGCCTCTGGAACCAATGGTTCTCAAATGCTGGTTCTTGGTTCTAAATGAGAGAATATATAGTAAATGCTGATGCTAAGACCCCCACCCTCACCCCATCCCTGGAGATTCTAATTTAGGACATTTGAGGCAGGCCTTGGAAATTACATCCTGGGCAAACACTGCCACTGCCACCGCTCCCCCATTCTGATTCCCAGCCAGTTTGAGGAATTCCTGCATTACAAGTGCCCCTCACCTCCCATTCCCCATTATGCAAGTCAAAGTCTGACCTTGTAAAATTTGAAGAAATCTTTTAAATAGCCCATAAGAAGAAATCTGTTCTCCCACAGTAAATCAGAATAGCAGCCACCTCTGCTCTTTTCTGATTTATTTACTTTTTTAATTTAGTAAGCCTTTTAAAAATGCAAAATCTGTAGACTACATATCAAATTAATCCACTTCAATACTCTCCATTTGTATATAATTTCTGTGACATAACTTGATCAATGCAGGGACTGTATCTAAGTACGCACTTGACAACTCTAAGTACAATCCCCTCATACAGTGGGTCTCAGCTAGAGCATCCTAGCTCTGCCAAAGAGGAAGCTAAGGATAAAGTGATTAAGAAAACTGCCTAGGGTCTCAGTGAGAGAAGAGCTGCTGCCCTTATATTAACTCCATCTATTAGGCACTAACGAAATGAGTTGAAGAAGTTCCAAGGTAGTCAAAAGATGCAAGCTTCCAGTTATAAAATAACTAAGTCATGGGGATGCAATGTACAGCATGGTGACTACAGTTAATAAGACTGTATTATATATTTGAAAGTTGCTAAGTGAGTAGACCTTAAAAGGTCTCATATGAAAAAAAATTCTGTATCTCTGTATGGTGATGGATGTTGACTAGACTTATTGTGATGATCATTTCACAATATATACAAATACTGAATGTTGTACATCTGAAACTAATATAATGTATATCAATCATAACTCAATAAGTTTTTTGAAAGAATTTTCGAAGAGCATTATACAAAAACACTTTATAATGAAGTGTCCGAGGTTCCCCGGATCCACCTGTCAGAAGGAAACCTACAAGTAAGAACAGGAACACTGGGAAGAGTATAGAAAACATCTACAAAGCATTTTACAAACATGATGTCTGCTTCTACTCAAAACTGCTGCTCTGCCCATTGTGAGCACCATTTCCAAGCTCTGAGGGTAAGGAGCACTGCTCTGGTGAAAGCAGCTCAAACCAGCTAACAGTGCAGCGCTACATGAATCAAAACACAAGGGCCAGCGCTGTCAGGGTCTACGTTAACTACCAATTTCCTTCCATCTAACCCATACACCTAAGAGTAGACGCTCTACGTCGGCCCGCGGACCAAAGAATCGCAGGTTCAATTCTGGTCAAGGGTACAAACCTGGGTTGCAGTTTGTCCCCGGCCCCGGCCGGGTCCTGCAGGAGGCAACTAGTCGATGAGTCTCTCTCACATCGATGATTCTCTCACTCCTTCTCTCTCTTTCCACATTTATCTGATGATAAATGTAAAAATATCCTTGGGTGAGGAAAAAAAATTTTTTTAAAAGAGTAGACGCTCTATACCTGCTAAATACCAGTCATGATTTCATCCTCGCACCATAAAATGTCACTTGCCTATCTTTATGGCACATAATGCCATTTTTTTATGTCAAAACAAAAACGTTTTTTTATTCCTCACCCAAGGATACTTTTCCATTTATCATCAAATAGAGTGGGAGGGAGAGAGAGACAGAGAGGAACATCGACGTGACAGAGCCACATTGACCAGTTGCCTCCTATAGGACTAGACCAGGGCGGGGGACCAGCAGCAACTGAGATACATGCCCTTGACCAGAAACGAACCCAAGACTCATTGGTCTGTGGGGTGACACTCCAACCACTGAGCCAAACTGGCCAGGGCAAAAACAAAAACATTACCTCTTCTGGAGCACCGGGATTCTTTAATACACTGTGACGGGAACATGCAGCACAGCCACTCTGAGCGCTGAATGAAATCAGAACTTAGACCACAGACTCCAAACTGGTTTCTGGTCTCCCCTACTTGAGTCTCTCCTCCACTAATTCTGTATGTTAGGGGTTTCAAAATGCATTTGTATGGAACCATTTCAGTTCAAATGGAACAATACATAGAAGTCCACCGTTGTGTGGGTCTCTGTTCCAACTGAAACATGCATGGGGAGAGGTCCAAAACTGCACCCCTCATTCACCCAACAAATACTCTGAGTCCCTCCTGGTGCCAGCCTCTACCCCGGTTGAGTCCCTCCTGGTGCCAGCCTCTACCCCGGTTGAGTCCCTCCTGGTGCCAGCCTCTACCCCGGGCTGAGTCCCTCCTGGTGCCAGCCTCTACCCCGGGCTGAGTCCCTCCTGGTGCCAGCCTCTACCCCGGGCTGAGTCCCTCCTGGTGCCAGCCTCTACCCTGGCTGAGTCCCTCCTGGTGCCAGACTCTACCCTGGCTGAGTCCCTCCTGGTGCCAGCATCTACCCCGGCTGAGTCCCTCCTGGTGCCAGCCTCTACCCCGGGCTGAGTCCCTCCTGGCGCCAGCCTCTACCCCGGGCTGAGTCCCTCCTGGCGCCAGCCTCTACCCCCGGTTGAGTCCCTCCTGGCGCCAGCCTGGACCCCGGGCTGAGTCCCTCCTGGCGCCAGCCTCGACCCCGGGCTGAGTCCCTCCTGGTGCCAACCTCTACCCCCGGCTGAGTCCCTCCTGGTGCCAGCCTGGACCCCGGGCTGAGTCCCTCCTGGCGCCAGCCTCGACCCCGGGCTGAGTCCCTCCTGGTGCCAGCCTCTACACCGGGCTGAGTCTCTCCTGGTGCCAGCCTCTACCCCCGGCAGAGTCCCTCCTGGTGCCAGTCTCTACCCCGGGCTGAGTCCCTCCTGGTGCCAGCCTCTACCCCGGGCTGAGTCCCTCCTGGTGCCAGCCCCTACCCCCGGCAGAGTCCCTCCTGGCGCCAGCCTGGACCCCGGGTTGAGTTCCTCCTGGTGCCAGCCTGGACCCCGGGCTGAGTTCCTCCTGGTGCCAGCCTCTACCCCGGGCTGAGTCCCTCCTGGTGCCAGCCTCTACCCTGGCTGAGTCCCTCCTGGTGCCAGACTCTACCCTGGCTGAGTTCCTCCTGGTGCCAGCATCTACCCCGGCTGAGTCCCTCCTGGTGCCAGCCTCTACCCCGGGCTGAGTCCCTCCTGGCGCCAGCCTCTACCCCGGGCTGAGTCCCTCCTGGCGCCAGCCTCTACCCCCAGTTGAGTCCCTCCTGGCGCCAGCCTGGACCCCGGGCTGAGTCCCTCCTGGCGCCAGCCTCGACCCCGGGCTGAGTCCCTCCTGGTGCCAACCTCTACCCCCGGCTGAGTCCCTCCTGGTGCCAGCCTGGACCCCGGGCTGAGTCCCTCCTGGTGCCAGCCCCTACCCCCGGCAGAGTCCCTCCTGGCGCCAGCCTGGACCCCGGGTTGAGTTCCTCCTGGTGCCAGCCTGGACCCCGGGCTGAGTTCCTCCTGGTGCCAGCCTCTACCCCGGGCTGAATCTCTCCTGGTGCCAGCCTCTACCCCGGGCTGAGTCCCTCCTGGTGCCAGCCTCTACCCCTGGCAGAGTCCCTCCTGGTGCCAGCCTCTACCCCGGGCTGAGTCCCTCCTGGTGCCAGCCTCTACCCCCGGCTGAGTCCCTCCTGGCGCCAGCCTCTACCCCGGGCTGAGTCCCTCCTGGTGCCAGCCTCTACCCCGGGCTGAGTCCCTCCTGGTGCCAGCCTCTACCCCGGGCTGAGTCCCTCCTGGCGCCAGCCTCTACCCCGGGCTGAGTCCCTCCTGGCGCCAGCCTCTACCCCGGGCTGAGTCCCTCCTGGTGCCAGCCTCTACCCCGGGCTGAGTCCCTCCTGGTCCCAGCCTCTACCCCGGGCTGAGTCCCTCCTGGTGCCAGCCTCTACCCCCGGCAGAGTCCCTCCTGGTGCCAGCCTCTCCCCCGGGCTAAGTCCCTCCTGGTGCCAGCCTGGACCCCCGGCAGAGTCCCTCCTGGTGCCAGCCTCTCCCCCGGGCTGAGTCTCTCCTGGTGCCAGCCTCTCCCCCGGGCTAAGTCCCTCCTGGTGCCAGCCTGGACCCCCGGCTGAGTCCCTCCTGGTGCCAGCCTCTACCCCGGGATGAGTCTCTCCTGGTGCCAGCCTGGACCCCTGGCTGAGTCCCTCCTGGTGCCAGCCTCTACCCTGGGCTGAGTCCCTCCTGGTGCCAGCCTCTACCTCGGGCTGAGTCCCTCCTGGTGCCAGCCTCTACCCCCGGCAGAGTCCCTCCTGGTGCCAGTCTCTACCCCGGGCTGAGTCCCTCCTGGTGCCAGCCTCTACCCCGGGCTGAGTCTCTCCTGGTGCCAGCCTCTCCCCCGGGCTGAGTCTCTCCTGGTGCCAGCCTCTACCCCGGGCTGAGTCCCTCCTGGTGCCAGCCTGGACCCCCGGGCTGAGTCTCTCCTGGCGCCAGCCTCTACCCCCGGCAGAGTTCCTCCTGGCGCCAGCCTCTGCCCTGGGCTTCAAACATACAGCAGTGCCCAAGATACGGAGGAGCCCATCTGTTTGCCCCAGGCCTCACCCCTGGAGGCCCCACAGCACAATTCCAAAATGACTTCTTACAGTTAATAATCTTAAAACAGTGCCTAACTGACATAGAGCTCTTACCCAAAAACTTCTTGTGGTTTCTCTTTGATACGGTTTTAACCAAATGCCACGGCTCACCACATTTACCTCTCTGGCATCTAGGCCCAATCCATCCTTTCAATTCTGTATATCCTAGGTCAACCCTCTTCAAGGGTGGAGAACGTCCAGCCCGCAGGCCCTCGAAATCAGTGCCAGCTAACATCACACCCCTCACCAAACTGGCCTGACCAAATACAGCAGACTAATTTTTAAGCTGATAATTTTGTCACCTTTTTTTATTTTTAATCCTCACCCGAGGACATTTTTCCATATTTTGTTCAGATAGAGTGGGAGGGAGAGAGAAAGAGAGAGAGAAACATTGACGTGAAAGGGACACATAGAGTGGTTGCCACCCACACGACCCAACCAGGGCCAGGGACAAACTGTAACCAAGGTACATGCCCTTAGCAGGAACTGAACCCAGGTCTCTCTGGACCACAGGCCGATACTCTAACCGCTGAGCCAAACCTTCCAGGGCTAAGCTGATAATTTTGTATGACCCTCAAATGATGTTATAAATATCCAAATGGCCCATGGCAGAAAAAAGGCCCCACCCCTGCTGCTTCCTTCACACTATTCTACTCACTGTACCACACAATTACTGCTCATTCCAACCTATGTGCTTTGCTTATGTGGTTATCTGACTTGACTACCTTCTTTCCTCCTGAACATGCTTTCAGATCCCCAAAAGCCTATCTTCAAAGTCAAATTTTTCTAGAAAGTCTCCATGACTATTCTAACCCTTACTTACCTCCTCTTCTCTCTCCAATACCATTTATCTATATTGCTCTTTTTGGTCCCAAACCATACGCTATCTTGTGTGAGTGTTCATGTTTCCCCTGTAAAGTCAATTCTTCAACCAAACTTCTACTCTTTTTGTATTATCCCAGAAGTTCATGCTCCACAAGAAATAGACATGATTTTAAAATACATCCTGGGCTAATTAACATCATATCTTCAATATAGAGATCTCTGGTAAATTTAGTCAAATTCTAAAATAAGTTTCAAAGTTTTCCAAAAACATGCAGTATCAAACAGTATACACAGTTTTGTTCCAACTCAGAAGAATAATTTATGTATCTTTCCAAAGGGCTTCTACTGCTAAAGAACAAAACATGTGCTAGATTGTCTGAAATTGCTATTAAGACATGCCATCACCTAACTGCGTGTGTAGTGTGCACATGGAAGGTACTCAAATGCTTTCTGAATTTAAAAAAAACAAACATGAAGACATCTCAAAAATGGGAACAACCTTCTAAAGGTAATGCCCAACAGAAACCATATTTAAAATAATGTCAATATTTCCTATTACTGGCACTTAGGTATATGAGAACCTTGGCATTTTCACATTGGAAACCCTCCCCTCCCTACTTCATCACTCTTGGCCCAGAAGACTGATTTACAAAGTCAGTCGATCACTTTCTCTAGTGAATCACTTTAGATGCCATGAATCACTAAGCAGTGACATTTTATTAGTCCATGTCCACTTGTTAAGGCTATTCACGGTGTCATTAGTCATCGTTATAAGTTTGAAAGGGAAATGAACTTTCAAAGTCTGTGGTCATGCAACAGCAGGTATTAGCTTTAGACTGATGGCAAGCATTTAAAGGAATTACCATATAATGAGAACATATGCTACCAAAAAGCACTTCCTTTAAATACCTATCCTTACTTATTTCAGGTGACTGAAAGAGATACTGCTGACATGAAATGGTAGCCAACAAATAGCTAGTCTTTCAAATTTTAAAAGAAGTCTATGGAATAAAATGTTTGGGCCTTTTCCAAAAGTACAATAAAATAAATCAGTTTCCCACGTTATATCAGTAAGAATCACTAGGGCACTTACCCAGGCCTCTCCCCTAGGGTTTCAGATCCAGTAAGGCTGTGGTGAGGCCTGGAAGTCTGAATTTTTACTAAGAACCTCAAATTATTCTTACTGAGGAAGTTTGGCAAATACAGGATAAAATGTCAAATATGTCACGGTAAGATACTTCGTCTTCCTGAGCGTACTTCCGTTTCATTCATAATGGAACTAGACAACAAAATACTTAGCAAATAAGTTTTTAAAATCATATGACAATCTAAACTACCAGCCCTCCTTAAAAGATTTTTACACAGAACTAGATAAAAGGAGAGTGCAGGTGAACAGAGATTTTTCAACAAAAATGTACATAAGGAGACCAATGAATTAAAGATCCATCTACATAAGATTGGTTGAGTTTATTTTTGCTCAATAGCAATGATGGACTTTGCTCATTCATTTGGGCAGACAGGATTAAGCTCCTCACCCTCTCTCTATATACTACAATTTTTAAATGAATTTAAAGACAAATTCTATTTCATGTGTATCTGAATTCCATTACAAAGTGTTGTCTATCAGCTAAGAAGCCCACACATTCCTATGAAATTGAACAAAATTAATTAAATTTGATTTTATATTCAGCCATAGCACAGGAAAGGTCACCAAGAGGTTTTAAGCAAAAGGGCTTACTCTTCATCCACTTTATCTCCTCCAATAATTCTGGGCCCTCCCAGCATTATTTATTCATGCTGCTCCCAGCAGAAAATGCTTATGATTAATTACTGCGACCCTGTATCTTCTGAGTTATTATGCTGATTTCCTTCTGAAACCTTACATGTATCAGAATATACTTAGTTATACAAGTTTCAGCTTTAAAACAAAATATTTCAATTGAAAATCTTAACTCATTTGAATTTCAAAAGTAGGTGTGGTTGCAGCATCAATTCCGTGAGTTGAGGTGAGATTTCAACTGAATCAGAAGTAGCTCCACTAGGACAGAGGTCATGTGACAAAGTGGAAGTGATTTTTTTACTCTAATTGTTGAAAAATTATAAGGTACAACCTAATTTCCCCCATAATGAGTCAGCCTTTTTTCCTCTATTTGAAGAGTAGCAGTTTCCCATATCTTGAATTTAAAATATCTTTAAATAAAATATTACTTCTTATACATAGGTTTGGCAGATGAAAAAACTTTTGCTTCAAAGTCAACATCTTTGTTTGATTATAAAACTGCTGAAGTCAGAAGTAACTGCTGCTGAAGCGAGAGGAAAACATTAATTCCACCTACGGCCCCACCTGACCGAGGGGACAGAGGGCAGAGAACTCCTGTGATCAGCGTGGTCTCTTCACGGAGAAAGAGCTGTGTAAAGGTGCATTACAAAGACAAAGATTTCTCACACTTTGTGCAAATGCTTCCCAAAGCATTTCACTTATATAAGTTTAATCTGATGTGGAAAAGCATACAAAACCAGAGATAATGCTTCAGGATGTAATACCAAAGGGAAACAAACACATCTGTCTTTTACAATTCAACAGATGTTCCACCCTGGTAACTGGAAGGTTAACCTACAGGACATCTTTATGGATTAAGCACCTGGCTTGGCACATTAAAAATAAAGATTTTTACCACATGATCTCACTTATATACGGAATATAATGAACATAACAGTGTGAGGAATACAGTAGACCCAGACACATGGAAGTAGGGCACAGACTGACATCCCTCAGAAGAGGGGATGGGGGGTGGGGGGGTGGGAAGAGATAAACCACAGAAATTATATGCATGTACGCATGACCAATGGACATGGACAACTAAGCCGGGGACAGGGTGGAGGGGGGGTAGGGGGGGTGCCAATGGGGTAAAAAGGTAAAATATCTGTAACAAAAAAATAAATAAAAATTCATAAAAAAGAAAAAAAAAATTTAAAAAATAAAGATTTTTTTTTTAAGTCCACCTATGATCCTTTGATTTACCTCCTTCGGGTTGACAATTAATTTAAAACAAAATCAGTTATGTTCTTTCTTAATTTTATTATGATTAAAGGACCACTCTATGTACCACTTTGGTATCTATTATTCAGTAATTATTGGCAATAGGTTTCATAATCTGTCTCGTTATAGAACAGGTAACAATAAAGCATCAAGGTTATTACCATTAACAACAGATTAACATTAGCATGCTGAAGGCTGAAGAGCTATTACCAGCAATTCTCACTGGCAAACCCAGTCCTAAGTAATTAGATAGCAAAGACTGTTGTTTAAAATAAAGAACCTGGCATCACTATCAGAAGACATTTTCCAACACTAAAAATTGTGAAGATCTTACCTATGTATAAATTGGATCTGAATTCCACATTGTGGTCTCTCACTGCCATATCTTGTGCTTCTAAAAGAATCTTAAACAAGGAAAAGAAAGGCATTCATGAATATATGGCTGACCCTGAACTAAAATGAAATGAAATTTCTCATTTCTTGTTATTTCTATGACTGCTAATCATATGCCTCCATTTTACAGTCTACTTTATTTTCTTAGGAATTTTTATGAGTTTATTTGAGCCAAATCGAGAACAATTGCCAGGAAGCAAGATCTTAAATGCTCTCTACAGCCAATTTTAAAGAGAGAATATCAAATGATAACAGTACTAAGGAAAAGGGTACAGTGAGCTTTCCTTCCTCAGACAAGAATTGCAAATGCAAGGAACAGAGTCCATCCAGCTAGGTTTTCAATGGAATGTATAAGCTGTGGAGGAGGAGACAGCAGCCCTTATAGCAGTACCCTTGGTAATGAATACCATGTCTCTGAGTTTGAGACTTGCAAAAAGTTCAAGAAGCTCAAGAGCTAAATCTTAATGAAAATACTTAAACTTTGGATCCACAGTAACCATGAACAACGTCAGACAAGTAGAGAAAATCATACTTGAAAATTTCCTTTAAGAATTACTACATTTAAGCTCTACAGATAGTTTGAATTGTTAACTTCCTTCAGAGCACATTTTTTAAAATAAGACAACTGTTGTTAAAAATAACAGAAACCAGATTTTTCACTCCTTTGAAGATAAAGAGTACAGTACAAGGCTGAGTACACAACAGATGGTTAGTAATTACCTTCTGAATTGAATTAAATATAGGTATTACAATGCAATCTCTTAGAAGTCTGAATCCATCAATCTTAACGATTCACCTACTAAACTAAAAAGATAAGATCTGACTTTAGGTGAGAGACTTAAATATAGAAAATAATGCCAATATCCTTAGATATCCTCAACCTAGCTTTTTGAAACAAGAGTTAGTGCAATTATCATCAGCACATGAATCAGCTACATTTAGAGCTGGATCTTTAAAGATCACGTAATCCAATACAACCTAGTTTACAAATAAGAAAAGTGAGACCAGACAGATTAAGTGTCGAAAAAGAAATATCAGAGATAGGACTAGACTTCAAGTCTCCAGAGTCTCACTTCAGTTCTCTTCCCACTCACATAGTTATGAAATCATAAACTCTCAGTTGTGGAATTGACCAAAAAAATCTTCTAAAAAATATATTAAGCCCAAATCATTAAAAATAAGATGTATCACTATCACTTCAAATATAAATGTCTGGCGCAAATAAAAGCATCTCAAGAAAAAAATACGTAAAGCACATGACATTCCGAAGGTGTAAGGACACTAATGAAACTGAGTGCCCTAAATCTGTGTTATATATACTACTCATTAACACCAGAAAATTCAGAATTTAGGCTGAGCTCACTAACACCTGCAAGACAGCTATGCACCCCTCAACTCAAATCTTAAGTTTACCTCTTTAATTATTCGGGCTCCTTTTTTGTCACTGAATTCCAATTGAGCCAAAGCCTGGTCAATGGACATTCCTCGAATCTAGAATTAAAGGGTGACAGCAAGAGAAAACAAATTAACTAACATAGTCAATGTTCTCTTTTCAATGAAAAGCAAAAGACTTATATAAGCTAAATAACTTCTAAACTCAGCTAAGTAGTTTTAAGTCAACTGTGTCTCAATAAAACTAAGGGGAAATTTTTAAATTAAAATAGGTAACTAAATGCAGACAAAAGAAAAGTTTGAGAAGGGATGCCATTCTCTTTAAGTCAAAATCAAGCTTAAACATGCTAACCATAAAAACTAGATTGTTAATAGTTTCAATTTAATTAAGAGAGAGAGCAAACATGACAGAGACCATGGGTTGGCCAAGACCACACTAGGCATTAAAGGAACCTCTTTCTCCTACAGAAAAAAATGTATTACATGTGTATTTGCTGCTTTTGTCTCCTCTCATACCTAAACTTCATTTTCCAGAGAAAAAACTTGGAAAGCAACAGTTTTGAAACAGGTTGAAGCAACCCTTACAGGTGAGTAAACGTGCTCTCTGTATTCTCTGGTTACAGGCAGATTTCTGATGCCTTTGTTCTAAATATCTATGCATCCAATGTGACAGTTTCTCAGGAGAAAGGTAAAAATTAAGCAAAATCACTCATCTCTGAGCAATCATCTTTGGCCTACCTACCAATCTGTCTAAACATGAAATTATACTCCTCACTTTTTAGAGAAACTGGAGCAAATATTTTCTTATTTTTAAAATCCTGGGGAAAAGTCATAGCTTAGCTTCTTTAACTATTATATGGTACTAGGTATTTTAGCTTACCAATTTTGCCAAATACCACATCTTGTCTTTGCTGTACTTTATTTGTCTTCGACAGTGGTAGATTTCCTTACAAATAAGAGGGGAAAAAAATTAGCAAGTAACATACTGCCAAAGTTCTGACTTTCTATGCCTAATGAAAATACTGCCATAAGAAATAAAAACATTATTAAGAATTTGCGGATTCTTTTTCCCTACACAAAGTTATATATTTTTTCAGTCTCACTCTGTTTAAAAAAATTACTAAGGGAAAAATAGAAATTACAAAATGGCTAGTTACCAATATTTTTATCCAGAGAATAATAAAAGATTTAAATAAAAGTATTTTTCAAACATTTAGCTGGCTAAAAGGACAAAAGAAAAGGTACAAAAAGAAAGAAAAGTTTTCTGTTAGTAAAGAGAACAACTGTGAAATGGACAAAATAACTGTTTTCATAGGAAAACCAGTATTCTAGATGTTTGGTCAAGAGCATAGATTCTAGAATCAGACTGCCTGGGTGGGAATCCTAGTTCTACCATGTACTAACTACAGAATTCAAGCTACTTAACCTCTCCTTGCCTACATTTCCACCTCTTTAAAATGAAGATAATATTACCTACTTCATAAAACTATAAGGATTAAATAAAATAACTTGTTAAAAAAGCACTTGACATTGCCTAGCACATGGTAAAATCTTAATAAATGTTAGTTTTTGTTATCTTCTATCTACAGTGGTGAGTATACCCTATTTAATTTAATTAATCATCCATTAAACAATTTCTAGGTCACAAAGCAATAATAAAGCCCATTATTTCATTTGATCTAACTCCATGAGTTGGGAGAGGGAACATTTTATAATCCTTTTACAATGTGAAAATCAGAGAAATACAATGTCTAGCGGATATATCTTCAAAGTTCCCCTTCTGACTCCAAAACCCACATTCTTTCCACTCCTATATGCTATTAACTAACCTATACAGTAAATAAGGTAAAGTTATGTTAGGATATAATGTGAAAAATAGTTATTCACATGAAGTGAAAGTAGGTCTAAATTATGAAACATATAAACCAGTAACTACATACTGCCACTTTAAAAAATTTAGGAAACATCTGTCAAGACAAGCAATAGCAAGGAAACATTAGAATTTTCTAACATTCTGACTCCTGCAGGAAATTTTGAAAGGCCTTAGAAACAGCAGAGTTTTCTCAAGTGGCCGTCTTTTAATCTGTAGCAGATTTCATTTCAGCTGCAATAGAAGCTGACAGGCTGAAAACTGTAGCAATCCCCTAATTACATTTTCAGCCAGAAAGTGTCCTGGGGAGCACAAGAGAAAAAAGAACTGTCATGACTGATAATATTAATCTGCAAAAATTAATACACTCAAAAAAAGCTTTTATATAAAAGCATTTCAATTCTCGGTATCCCATGATGGGCTATCTTTAAACCTGGATTGTATATAATTATCTTCAAACTTTGTAAAAAAAGATATTGTAATCCTGGCAAGAACATGGGAAAAGGGGAATTAAGAGTTTACAAAAAAGGGCAAAGTTATTCAATCGTCCTCTTCTAAAACTTAAAAGCTCAACATTTCCTTTAGACGGGTGCAATGTCTAAGGATACTTTCTGAAGATAAATCAAAGTCTCAGTATAAACCTATCATGGCAAATAACATGGCAAAGTTGGAAGTCTGAAGGTCTGGTTAAATATCACTGCTGTTGCCCTGGCCAGGTTGGCTCCACAGTTACAGCATTAGCCCTCAGACAGAAGGGTCTCAAGTTCAATTCCTGGTCAAGAGCACCTACCTGGCTGTTCGGGAGGTAACCAATCGATGTGTCTCTCACATTGATGTTTCTCTCTCTTTCCCTCCCCCCCTTCCACTCTATCTAAAAATCAACAGAAAAGTATCCACGGGTGAGGATTAACAAAAAACAAAACCAGCCCTGGACGGTTTGGCTCAGCGGTTAAAGCGTCGGCCTGCGGTCCTGAGAGACCCGGGTTCGGTTCCCGCTAAGGGCATGTACCTCGGTTGCAGTTTGTCCCCGGCTCTGGTCAGTCGTGTGGGTGGCAGCCACTCGATGTGTTCCTTTCACATCGATGTTTCTCTCTCTCTCTCTGGTCCTCTCTCTCCCTCCCACTCTACCTGAACAAAAAGTGGAAAAATGTCCTCGGGTGAGGATTAAAAAAAAAAAAAACAAACAAAATATCACTGCTATTAACTAACCTATATGGTAAAAGATGTAAAGTTAGGATATAAAGCACAAAATAGTTATCCAATGAAGTAAAAGTCTAAACTATAAAACATCAAAACCAGATACTTTTAAAGAAGTTAATGTATTATTTATTTACTTACTTACTTATTTATTTTATATGGAGTGGAAGAGAGGGATGGTACAGAGAGAGAGAAACATTAATGTGAGAGAGACACATCGACTGGTTGCCTCCCACACAACCCTGCCTAGGGTTGGGGACTGAATTGCAAATGAGGCACATGCCCTTGACCAGAACTGAACCAGCAATTCTTTGGTCCACAGGCTGACACTCTAACTGCTGAGCCAAACTGGCCAGGGCAAGAGGTTAATTTATTTTTAAATGCACATAATAACTGAAATGAAAAAGTGTCACCTAATAAAAGTCCCCAGTGGGGGTCATGCAGGAGGCAGCCAATTGATGTTCTCTCTCATCTATATCTATTGCTCTCTTTCTCTCCCCCCACTTCCTTTCTCTCTAAAAATCAATAAAGAAAATAAATAAAACTAATTTTTAAACTGTTTGCAGCGAGCAGACTGGCAAGTCTAAGTGACAATGCACATGCTGGCAGTGTATGAACTATGCGGCTAGATGAGCCAAACTGTTCCCTGTTAAGAAGGCAGGTATTTATGAAGGGCATTAATATTTCAGTCATAAGAGACATTAGTGATACACCAGAGTCAATTTATCAAATACTATATAAAGTCAGAAAATGTTAAGGTATTTTCTAAAAGACCTCAAAAGGATTACTCTCTCAAACAAAATCTATGCAAAATAGAAAATTAAATTAGATTCTTAAAGTGCCTATGTAAAATCAAGCCAAATGTCTTCATGCAGGCGCTTGTATAATAATCAGTATAAATGACACACTGTGGCCAGGTGCTCAGTTGGTTGGAGCACTGTCCCATACACCAGAAGGCTGTGGGTTCAATTCCCAGTCAGGGCACATATCCAGCTTGTGGATTCGATTCCTGATTGGGACTCGTGTGGGCGGCAGCTGATAGATATTTCTCTCTCACACTGATGTTTCTCTCTCTCTCTAAAATCAATAAAAAACGTGTCTTCAGGTGAGGATTAAAAAAAATTTTTTTTAATGATACAAGAAAGTTAATCAAAACAATTTCAGGAAATACAATACATAACAAATGATTGGATTGGCATTGTTCTTCATTTGCTGAAGTTAAGTACATGACCTACTATTAAATATTTCCATTTTGACATTTGGGATGCATCCTGGAGTACATTTATTTTTTGTGGGGTTTTTTACCCTCACCCAAGGACATTTTTGCATTTATCTTCAGATAGGGCAGGAGAGAGAGAGGAAGAGAGAGAAAGAAACATCAATGTGAGAGAGACACATTGACTAGTTGCCACCCACACGACCCCAACTGGGGCCAGGGACAAACCGCAACCGAAGTACGTGCCCTTAGCGGAAACCGAACCCAGGACTCTGGTCCGCGGGCCAAAACTCCAACCGCTGAGCCAAACCAGCCAGGGCCATTTGTTTTAATATATAAAAAAAGACTAGTATTACAAAATATAAAATTTTGCTCTTAGATTCTGGACCTGATAAATACTATTATGATTTCTTTACTTTCAATTAATATCTAAGTTCAAAGAGCTCAAGTAAGAAGCAAAAAAAAAGCTCATTATGGGAAATATGTTATTTATAGTAAATTGTGCAAATATATAACATAGTTTAATTTTGGTTAGTTACAGAATGGAGTCAATACTTAACAGTAAAGGAGAAGGGTGGAAGAGGAGGAGGGAATAGGGGGATAAATGGCGATGGAAAAATAAATTTAAAATATAAAGAGAAAAAATACTCAATAGCACAGATTCTGTTACAAATCTAACTTTTAAGTTCTGATGGCATAATAAAATATGAAAATTAAAAATCTGTTTAAACTATTAGCATCTCTTTCTCCTATTTCCCAATAAGGTGGGAACTCTTTAAATCAATAAATTAACTCCTTTAAATGAAAAAAAAAAGAAAACATAAAACTGTACTAATTCAGACCAATATTCAGACAGCAACTGAATCTTAATCAAATGAATGCTGTCAAGTTCATATAAAAACTAAGTAAATGACAATACTTAGACGATAATGATTATCACTTAAATCCTATGCACAGAAAAGTCACCAGTTTGTTTCCTAGTCAAGCACATGCCCAGATTGCAGGTTCGATCCCTCTGGGGTGCATGTGGGAGGATACAAATCAATGTTTCTCTCTGACATCTATGTTTCTCTTTCCCTCTCCCTTCCTCTCTCTCTAAAAAAAAAATCAATAAAAACACTAAAAATAGTCCTGGCTGGTTTGGCTCAGCAGTTAGAGCGACAGCCTGCGGTCCAGAGAGACCCGGGTTTGGTTCCTGCTAAGGGCACGTACTTCAGTTGCAGTTTGTCCCCGGCCCTAGTTGGGTCGTGTGGGTGGCAGCCACTCGATGTGTCCCTTTCGTGTCGATGGTTCTCTCTTTCTTTCTTCCTCTCTCTCCCTCCCACTCTGTCTGAACAAAAAAATGGGAGAAATGTCCTCAGGTGAGGATAAAAAAACACTAAAAATAAATAAAAAGATGTTTGCTGAACTGAATGATTTATAATTAATGCAGTAATTCTATTTCTAAAGTACTTACCACAGTTTATTTTCTTAAGGATTCAAATGTCCCCCATCATGTTTCTGCTATTACTACTTACTTAAACTTTTAAACAGATGTAAATATATTCCACAGCAAATTCATACTAAGCTGGAAACTAGTCACATCTTAGACAAAAGCAATCACAAGCATTTGAAGAGGGTAAAAGAATTCTGAGCAGCTAAATATAAAACCTGATTAAATTCAAATCTTAGGTTCAAAAGTTTGTGAATTATAAAACCACCAAGTGTGTCTGTATTCAAATATAAAACACTGGAAAACCATAAATGATTTACATATTGGCCAGTGGTTTAAGTCATTCTTGCCAACTCCTCATGCTTCATTATCAAGAATTCATTAGCAAGTGTCTTGAAATAAAAAACCAGTAAGTCTCAAACTGTTAGCTTAGTTTTAGAGTTAAGTCCCCTATCCAGGAGGCTAAACAAATAGGTGCAACAAATAAGATCTTTTTAAATTTCCAAAGAGATAAATCTAATACATTTTCTTTATCAATTAAAATATCATGTAACTGTTGTATAATTGTTTCTTTTCTTAACATGGAATAATAAATCATTGCCAGCCACAAAATCAGTGCCAGCCACAAAAGAGTGAGAGTGCTTTATCAAAATTTAGAAATCAGTCCCACCACAAACTTACTGCTGGTCTCCGAGGTTCTCCAGGCAGCTGTGGAGGATAAACAATTTTATTCTTCTTCTCCCACTTTCGAAAAATGTCAAGAGAAGCACTCGTGTGGATGTGTGATTGGGGTAAAACACTCTGAGATGAAAGAAGCCTGTAAAACAACAGACACTTAGAGTATTTTTGCAGAGCCTATGTATCAGTTCCATTTTGACAGAAACTGAGGCTCACAAGTAGAAACATGCTAGACATATTCATTAATAGAGACTGCTTTTACATAAAATAGCACAAAGAGCTAGTTTAGAAAGAGTGAAAAGTTAATAACTTATGTAAGCAAAATAATAGATAGATATCCACCCAAGATCTCTTGCTCTCACTGGCCAATACATATTGACTCCATTGATAAGTCAGCCCAGTCCTAAAGCAGATTCAAAGACACAGTGGATCCCTGACCTGACATGTGGGTTTCCTCAACTTTGTTGGGTAAGAAGATAAATAACATCATTTTATAATCCCTAAGAAATTAATGGGTAAAGTTGGCATGATGTATCTCCTAATAAAAGAACATACCACCCACCATCCATGAAGTAATCTTTCCACAAAAAATGAACCCAAATTGATCAAGCCTCTAGATTCAATACGGGAAATACAGAGACTGGAACACAGCAAACGAAATCAGGAGAATGCACTCAGCCAAATTCAAGCTCTACAAGAAGAACTCTACAAGAAAAACAACCCATTTTCTTCAACAGATAAACTCTAAGGGGGAAAAAAAGAAAGCCGAATAAAGAACCTACAGATGAAAGACTTAAGAGAAATAATTTCTGTGTGTGGACTATTATCATTTCAAAGGTATGACAGCTACTTAACCATTGGAAATTTGAACATTAAATGGGCATTTGATTTTTAATGAGATATGTAGTAAAATATTTATGGATGAAATAATATAGTGGCTGGGATTTGTTTCAAAATAGGATGGGGGAAGAATAGAGGCTATAGATAAAACAAGATTAGCCATGTGTTAATAACTGCTGAAGTTGGGTGATGGATTCATGGGGATTCACCATATGGTCTACTTTTGTATATGTCTGGATAAATCCAAGTAACTCAACAAACTCTGGTGTTTCCCTACTGCCTGTAATATAGTCTGGATTCTTTAGCAAGACACAGGCCTTTCATAACCTAACCCCAACCAGGCTTTTCACTTTATGGCCTAGCCACACAGACATTCTTTGTTCCCTTAATAAGGCAAGTACTTTCATACCTCCATACTTTTGCTAATATTGTTTTCTCTTTCCTCATTATCTCCTGAATGAAATGCTTATCCTGTTTAAAGTTCCACCTCAAACGTCACCTCACCGTGGGACATCACCTAGTCCTTCTCCCAGACAACCATTCCCCCAGTTGCCTCAAGTACTTCGCTCTTGCCAGCCACACAGCAATGAGTTGGACTACTGGACTAGAATAAATTGGCTCTCGTACAAGGAGTTCCTGTAGTAAGAGGACAGACTTGAGCATCCTGAGGGCAGGTCTGACATCCTTTCTGTTCCAGCACGAGGGACATCTGGCACATGGCTAATGAGGAAATATTTAACCCAGACTTCAGTCCTCCAAGTTGCCATATATTGGCAGATTCTCACACAACATATGCAATTGGATAGTATGCTTGGCAACACCTTTGTTTTTAGGCCTCAAACCATTCAGACTAAAGAACTTTAAAATCATTCTTCTCCTAGTGGCTCATTTCTCCTACTCTACCTCAAGTAACCATTTTACATCATGATATTAAGATCAGTGCATCTAAGTACCTGACAAAATCTGTACCTTTGACATCCACATCTAGGTTCCAATGTTTGTTTGTTTTTGTTTTGTTTTGTTTTTTATCCTCACCCGAGGATATTTTTGCATTTGTCCTCAGATAGAGCAGGAGGGAGGAAGGAAGGGAGGGAGACAGGGGGAGGAGGGTTGAGAGAGAGAGAGAGAAATATCGATATGAGAGACACGAGTGGTTGCCACCCACACGACCCAAAGCGGGGCTGGGAACTGCAACCAAGGTACATGACTAGCAGGAACCACACCCGGGACTCTCTGGTTCATGGGCCAACGCTCTAACCACTGAGCAAAACCGGCCAGGGCTAGGTTCCAATGTTTTAAATGAAAAGCACAAAACTAGGATACATGTTAGAGGGCAGGATTTCCTAATGAAACTATAAGGCAGGTGATGAAGGCAGAGAAGATGAAGTCAAACAGAGATGGGTCTAAATTCTAACTCTAATTTACTGTGAATGGCCTTGGGCGGACCATATTACTTTCTAGATCTCAGTTGCTCAACAGTAAAAAGAATAATATTAGTATCTACTTCATAGCCTTCTTCAGAAGCTCAAATGAGATACTGTAAGTTAAATACTTAAGCTAACACTTAATAGGGCTCAATAAATTTTATTTATTATTTGTATCCTCACCTGAGGACTTTTTTCCATTTTTTGTTCAGACAGAGTGGGAGGGAGAGAGAGAGAAAAACATCAACGTGAAAGGGACACATCGAGTGGCTGCCACCCGTACAACCCAACCGGGACCGGGGACAAACTGCAACCAAGGTATGCACCCTTAGCGGGAACAGAACCCAGGTCTCTCTGGACCGCAGGCCGATGCTCTAACCACTGAGCAAAACTGGCCAGGGCAAGGGCTCAATAAATTTTAGACATTATTTTTAGAATGAGGAAAATAATACCTACTTCACTCAGTTGTCGGTAAATTAGTAATTAATGTGCCATATCGAACAGTGTCCAGGAAACGATAAACACTGATGGCTAGTATTAATCTTAAATTAGGCCCTCTGAACAGTTAATTCTTTCTCTCCTGTTCTCTGAAAAAATAAATCCTGTAACTGTAACTTTATATTATACAATTTCAAATCTGCTCACATTTATAATCAGGATCATTTATGTTCCTACAAAGCTGTAATTAACTTTGGGTTCACTAAGTTTGTCACCTCTTTGGGTCTCAGTTTCTTTATCTATGAAAAGAGGAACTGGACTAGGTCATCTCTAGGGTCCCTCCAAACCTTAATTCTGCCTCCAGTCCAAATATACATGAGAAATATACTTTTGTCATCTAAACAACCAAAATATATTTCTTATAAATCACAACATTGTAATCCTCTAAATCTAGCACAGTGTTTTGCACTCAATCTTCAATACACATTCAATGAATTAAATATGATGCTAAGTAAATTAAACACAGTATGAATTAGTAATGACAAAACTTTCTGAGTACCTATAATACTTTCAAGGCTCAAACGGTTCACAAAATGAGTTATCAAATAAATACAAAACTACTGTAATCAAATTAAATTATCATTCCATATTGGGTACTTAATTCAGAAGTATATTAAATTCAAAGTTCTTATGTGCCCTCTCCTGGTCAGCTGTTAGAACAACACTAAATTAAAAAATATAAAATGAAGCAATCTTAAGGTAAAATTGAAAATAAAACTAATTCAAAACTTGAGGTTTTTATGACACCTTTACATGAGAAAGCCTATGAAGGGTCATTTGAGAAAACGAACTCAAGAAAAGGAAGTTGGGCCCTAGCAGGTTTGGTTCAGCAGTTGGAGCAATGCCCGAGGGCCAAAGAGGATATTTTTCCACTGATTTTTTTTTTTTTTCCAGATAGAGTGAGGAAGGGAGGGAGAAATAGAGAAACATCAATGTGAGAGACACATCAATTAGTTGCCTCCCACACAACCCCAGCTGGGGCACAGCCCACGTACATGCCCTTGACTGGAATCTAATCAGCGACTCAGGTCCTCGGGTCCTCGGGCTGGGCCGTCGCTCCAACCACTGAGCCAAACCGGTCATGGCTAGGGTGAGAATTTAAAAAAAAAAAAGGAAGTTGGTGAAATTAAAAAACGATGGCATGGGTTATTGCTATTGTTTTCCAACAAATGTTAATTTTTTTTATTTTAGAGAGAGTGGAAGGGAGAAAGAGAGAGAGAGAGAGAGAGACGTTGATGATGGCCTCCCATATGCACCCTGACTGGGACTGAACCCGCAACTTGGGTATATGCTGACAGGGAATCGAACCAGCAACTTTTTGGTGTAGAGGATGACATCCAACCAACTGAGCCATACCAGCCAGGGCAAACATTTAATTTTAAGTCTGTCTAGAGCTCCAGTTTACTGTTAGCATTCTAAAGAATCAAAATAAGCTAAATCTTTTTTAAGGAAAAATGCAGTGAAAGATATCTAGAACCAACTATTACCATTTTGAAATTCAAGTATCATCACTAATAACAGCCTTTCATTCACTAGATATCCCAAATCCCATTAACTTCACGGTATCTCTGTAAGCTGGGTGAAGGTAAGTAGCTGAACCAACTCTCCAGAGTGCTTGTACACACAACATACACACAGGCGGCCTGCAGTCGGGTGAGACTGCCGGAGCCACGCAGAAAGCAGGTGGTAGACTGAAACCAGCATGTGAGGCACTTCCTTCCTCTCAATTATTCTGATGTTTCCTATCTACCAATACTCGAGGATTAAGTATCACCTTTTTTCTTTCATTTTTTTAATTCCTCAACCGAGGATATTTTTCTATTTATCATTAAATAGAGTGGGAGGGAAGAAGAGAAAGAGACAGAGAGAAACATCGATGTGATAGAGACACACTGACCGGTTGCCTCCCCCACGACCAGGGCCAGGGACGAACCACAACCAAGGTACGTGCCCCTGACCAGAATCAAACCCAACACTCATTGGTCCACAGGTCAACACTCTAACCGCTGAGCCAAACCGGCCAGAGCTCACTTTTTAAATTCTACCCATAGTCTTTAGGCATTAAAGAGTAGAAGATATAAGCCAAACTTTAGAATTAAGAGTTAACTGAGATAAGACAGAGACTCTGAAACTTTTTTTTGAGACTCTGAAACTTTCTAAAGTCCCAATTGAAAGAAAAAACTAATACTTCCTATTTATTATTCAAAGTTAATTTTGAAATTCAGAACAAGATATACCTAAGTCCCAAGTGAAGATAACAATGGCCTCTGGCTCAGTCTCAAGAATAGCATGCTATTAGATGCATCAAGGTAAAAAATTCTTTCTTCCAAATTTACTTCAGATAACACTGTTAATCCTACACTTGAGACTGAATAAA